AGCTTTGCTCGCATAATCTTTCCAGATGATGTCCGTGGTATTTCATCTACAATTTCGACGCCGCATAGATGTTTATAAGAGATAAATCGTTCTGAAATTAATGTTTTAATCTAAAGGACAGGTCAGCTATAATCTCTTTGGCACCTTTAACAAAGTTGATCACATCATTTTTATCAACGTCTCCAACAACAAAAGCTTTAGGTCGATGACCATCTTTTCCGTATTCGACGCCAACAACAGCACAGTCTTTCACATCGGCGATATTTGCTTTAATAGCTTCTTCGATTTCATAGGGGTTCACCTAAAGAAGTGCATGGTATGTTACTAGTTTGAATGTAAGGAGGCGATGGAAATCCTGACTTACTTGCCATCCTCGTACTTTAATCATGTCCTTTATTCTCCCAACGATGTAAACGAATCCCTCATCGTCGATCCGAGCCAAATCACCTGTTTGCAACCACCCATCTGGATTGATACTAAACAGGGTCTAACAATAAGAGTCACTATGTGGAAAAAAAATGATGGTTTTAGATAATAGTTTTGTTTAGGCGCGTGTTCCAATAAGAAGTTTTCTAATTGTTCAACGAAGCTTATTGTGCAAAGAATGTTTGAAGGTGTTGAAAGGTGAGGATCAGCAGATAATTCTTTGAAAATATGTATGTTTTCGACAATTTTTTTCCTTATATGCACTCCTCATGATACTGATTGGATTGGATGCAAATTTTGTTTGACCATTATAACCTGAAGTTAAGGTAGCGGCCGCTAAAAAGTAATTCTGCTTTCTCTTTGGATGAGCGAGTGCTCGAACTCAAAATCATAGTTCAGATAACCGTCAGCCATGAAGTAATTTGGAGAAGTTTTTTTTTAATCCAGAAATTGCATAGGTGCCAACTTACTCGCCATGGCCAAGGTACCCCTCCATCATAGATGGCGATCTCACCACCAGCTCTCCTATCTCATTATTCTTAAGACATTCTTTCCCCTCTCCGACAACCTGCAAATGTAAAGCGAAATCTCAGAATGGACTGTAAAGAATATAATTTCTAATGGTGTGTAGAATTTTTTAGCTGTAAACTGCTAATTTCAATCCCAAAAACGGGTTTTTTGGAAAATTCAAAGCAACTGAAAAACGTCAAAAACGTCGTTTAATCGCACTAAAAGTGTTGCCACTTAAGATATTTAGTTGATTTTTTTTTCTTTAAAACTTATAGTAGGTAAAGAACCAACTACAGCTTCCACTCCAGGCATAGGTCTTCCAACCGATGACAGACGTGTGTTTCCTACAGGCGTAGTGAAAATCAGCATTCCGGCTTCTGTCAATCCATACACTTAAATATCAAGATATCTCTAGCGTTCCTAATAGTACGATTGCCATACACTGTACAACATCCTGAACATCAGGTAGACGCTCTTTGAGAGCGCGAAGGTGACTTTCTTCACACTTCGCTGCACCAACGAAGATGAACCTGACCAGAAAAAATTATCAAGTCATAGGTACGAATTTAGTATAAAGAGCTTACTCACTTAAGCGCACTGAGATCGTAGTTGTCGACTGCTGGATGCTTGATGAGAAAATCGAGGATTGTTGGGACGATGTTAAGAATAGTGATCTAAGGCAAAGTTCAGGAACAGTTGTTGGTAGGTGAATAGTTCCACTTATTTACTTATTGTAAATTTGAACGACTGAATGTAAAACGAAGTTACCTTATATTCCGTCAAAATACGAAGAAATGTTGCTTCAGTGAACTTTTTGTTAATAACTACTGTAACTCCTTGAACCAGCATAACAAATACAGTAATCAATCCGCCAGCGTGAAAATACGGCAGCACACCATGTACCCTATTTCCACCCAACAAATTTGGAAAAGGATAT